GACTAGCAATGCAAAACATAAGGAAAGGATCAATAACGTGTAAAAATGATGTGAAAAGTGCAATTTGTGATATTTTTTGACAACATTAAAAGACAGATTTTATGGTTTGACTGCAGGTGGCAGAGAGCCACAGACGCAGCACTCTCAGTTTACTGAATGTTCCTGACAGACCTCTGCTCATTAGCTGCTCTGCAACTCTTATAACATAACATATGACACATCAAGATGAGTATGGCTGCACATAAAGGCAACTAATGGCTTCACCAAAGCCTAGTGTGTTAAGCTACATGTACTATAATAAAAAGTGTTTCTTCATCAGAGAACCACAGTTACAATGTAATCTACAGTTGCCAATTGTATTGTTGTCTGGATGCTCAGGTGCAAGACTCTATACTACAGCCCCTCTGCAGTGCAAGTCACCAGGCCAGTGACAGTGGTGACAGGGCTACTTACATAGGCAGTGCACCAACACAGGCCCCCACCTCACCACCTATTGGGGAAACAGACAACATATATTGCTGGCCAACATGCCGTATCAACTCCCCTAAGGGACTGGATGCAGCAATTCTCAGTATTTGGAATCAGGGAATGTGATATTTTATCAGGTATTTTATCAACACTTTTGTGTTTGACAGTGGTCAACTCAGACACATTTTAAATTACACAAAGAGTTATCACAACCTTGGCTGAATACTTTCTGTTTGAATACTGTTTGATGACCATTTGTCTTCATATGACAAAGCAATAAACATACTGCGCGTAAAAAAATACTCTCTACAGTATAATTAACACATTGTTAGGTTTTGTGCTTATATAAAGTTCTTGCTGTTTGAGAACTGTATCGTTCAGCTGTGCTTTTAGAGACGGAAACCTGTACTGAGGCCTGTTCCACTCCAGCAACTGGCAGACATAAAGTGCAGGACACTTAAAGCCCCTTTAGAGAAGACTGCTGAGGGTCAAATTCACAATTTCAACTTGGTGAATTCACCTGAGAGCTGAAGTGGTTTAACAGCTTCTTTCAAAACCAGTTGACCACTCAATGCAGTTCCACGCTGTTTTTGACAGGCACAGCCACTGATCCTGAATATACATTGTGGCTGCTGTGGGACATGAATATTTATGCTGAGTGGCTATGTCTGAAAAGCTGGTTTGTACTAATACACACACACACACACACACACACACACACACACACACACAAAGATACAGGTGCTTTTAAATTTTAAATATGATGGTGTTTGAGCTAAAAGTGGACATGGGTGTCTAAGAGGAGAGAAGAGTCACAAACAGACAGATAAGCTACAAGTACAAGTGAAGTAGAAAAGGACATATTAAATACCAATCCATCCACAGGGCTGACACACAGAGACAGACAACCATTCACACTCACATACACAGACAGAACAGAAAATAAATTCATTAAAACAGAATGTCAGTAAAAAAAAAAAAAAAATTCTTCAGCCCTGATGCAGGATAAAAATAGAAATAAAGTCTGTTATATACTGAGTGAACTCTGCTACATTTTCAGATGCTTCAAAATAAAAGCATGGTGAGAACAAAGTGCTGACATCAAATCCAGGCTTGTCACAGTGGATCACTCCTGGCTGCAGCCTTCACTTCTGTCTCACTACTTTGGATACAAAGATGCTGTGTCTACGGAGTAGGGAGGGAGTGTGGGTGTTATTTTTAGCTGGATGTATTGGTACCAGTGTAGCCTGTTTTCCTGTGTCATCAGTGAAATATTATTAACTGATAATCCAATCTGACAGGTGTAAAACTGAATCAGGTCTGGGATAGTTCTGCATATCCATCTGGGACTTTCTAATCACTCAACTCTCCTCAACCCCTGGTCACACCCCTGGGATGAAGTCATATCTGAAAGCTATAGCTGCTTATAAATATGCAACATCAGGGTGCATGTGTAAGCTCAAAACATCCTGATGCTACCAGGGTTTAAGGTTCTATTCCCTGTGTTGCTCAGCAGGTGAAGCAAGACATTACATTACTAGCACTGCATGAATCTCGGTGTCACTGAAATACATTCAGATTTATTTTGTCCTTCCTCACACACCTCTGGTAGTTTGTTTGAATGATGTTGAAATTTTGTTCATGACTTCTTGTGGACAGATGAAGCAAAGGGACATGATGGTGGAAAAACTTAGGGGGTACTTGGGCTGTGAGATCGGCAGCAGCATCATCAGCTCAGCAGGACTCAGATCAGTGTGATTACACTTGGACACACCAGTAAACCTATTTGTGTAAAATGTAACAAAATAGCTCAACTCTGCCTGTAAGATTTTGTTGGCTGACATATGTTGTACACACATTTACTCATTATTTTCCCTGAACTGGACTTTTTCATTGAAGTGCCGTGAAATCTGTGCGATAAGCCTTCGAGGCTCTGGGACAATACTTATGGGAACACAATAACTAGGCTGACTTAGAGAGGACCAAAGATTTTCCACTAACCTGAAGCAAGTTTCAGAAGGATCAGCTCTTGGGGGAGGTAGTTACAGCTATTTTTTTTTGTCCTGCCTAATTTTACTGGTTTTCTTCATATTCTAGAATTGTTTTAAATATGACATTGACGGGGCACATTGACTCTCTTATAATCAGGTACATACTAATGACAGATCGTTCTAGTATTGCTTTTTATTTATGAGGATTTCCAGTTGAAGATAAGACACAATTTAATACCATTTTTCAAAACCATCAATCAAATAATGTGTGTGTATGGGTGTTGCATGTTTGCTGAAGCTCAGACTGACGTGTCTGACTCTGTCCTCCAGTTATTCTTTTTGAAGGTGCTGAATCATCCGCTCACCCTGCATGCTACATCTTACACACACACACACACACACACACACACACACACACACACACACTTTTCACATATACTGTACATCCTACATTCTATCTCCTGCTTCCTAGACACATCAAAACACACATTATTTTTCTCCAGTTTGATAAAAACCTCACTGAGCAGCTATTTAAAGGAACTGCTGAGCCTTTTGAAGTGAAACTATATCTTGTGAGGTGCGTTTAAAGATTTATGTGTTCGGTAGAAAACAGTGGGCTTGGAAATGAGAGCCACAGACAGAGTAGAGAAGTCATAAAGTGATTTGTTGACAAGAACAACATGCATTTGGCCACTTCAGCTCAGAATCAAAAACCTAATCTTTCCATGTGAGTATAGTCTGTCCAATTTATGCGCAGCTGCTGACCTTGTAGGGGACTGTACTCAACACCACACACCACACTTCTCTTGTTTGTATGGCTTCCTTTTTATTACAGATTCTTTCATAGTTGTTTAACATACTTTGGATAATACTGGAAAATGGTAGCACCACTGGCAGTAAAGTGTTGTCTGTCTATTTATGCTTAACTTCATCTAAATCAGGTCCAGATTAAAATAACATCAATTACCCCGGGTTATGTAATCATGGTAAGAATTTGCGCTGGAAAAAGAAATCCAAGATGACAGTGACAAACCATTTCCATACATCTGTTTAGATGAAAGAGGATATCATGATAATCCACAGTGGGTCTTAGTGTTTTCTCACATCTCTGAATAAAGGTTGCTCTATATTTATGTACATGTATGGCACTTGATGACATGGAAAGAATAATCACAAATGAAAGACAGAAAAGATAAAGTGATGATTAGTTTCCACGCACCACCAAAGGAGTGATCATTAAGGTTAAGGTCAGTGGTGTGATAACAGGCATCCAGAGCAATGAGAGATAGATATTACAGATGAGACACATCATGTGCATAATGTATTATATCCAAAGAACAGTCTTACCCTTTCAACTACAAGATTGTGTGCTTCACTGTGGAAGTAGTTTTTGGAACCACTGGAATGTGACTGAAACACCATTTAAGCTCAGTGTGGATAGGCATTTTCATTTGGCTTATTAGTGCAAGACTATACTGTGTCAACATGGACATCAGAAAACTACTCTGATACACTACATGGCCCAAAGCATGTATTCTGTTTTCCATAGTTTGGGATCAGATCCTTATATTCCAGTTCAAAGACCACCTCACGAATTCTGCACATGATCACAAGGAATTCTACCTCAACAGCTGTATCATGGCTGGTGGCTCTGGAGAAGCTTTTTTATGTCTGAGACTCTCTGATATTTTTTTTCAGACTTTGATATTAGGTTTTGGGGATATTGCATCAAAAAACCTGCATTCAAAATAGTGAGTGTGGAGTTTTGAGGATGGCCGGTGGGGATAGTTGCAATGGAGGAAGAATATATGATAATTTAAACGATAATAGGAAGTAAAAGTCTTGATATCATCTGCTGTGCAGATTTTGACCTTCTTAGTTTAGTTTATCATGTGATCCCCAACATATGCTTTACTACTGCACTACCCAGTTGTCTTCATTATTGGTTCACTGTGAAGTATTAACTGAGCTCTTTCCCATCCAAACTTTTTAGAATAAACTAGTCTGACGACTTTGAGTTGGAATGTCAGTGTCAACATATGTTGGACCATGCAGTGTAGCAGTTTTTGATTTAAAGACTTTACAAAGAAAGAAAACACCAAGTTATCAGTGCCTCTGCTCAAAAACTGACAAACATATGTGTGGTGTTTGTCTCTCAATAACTGACAGAGTATCAATACAATTGACACCCTGGAACTCAACATGATGTTGGTGAGATAAATGATCCAGTCTTAATAATCACCATTAATAAAACAGTCCAAAATTAGATGTTCATCTCAAGCACTCTGCTTTGTTTCAAAAAGTTGTGAAAGACATATTTGGAAATCTCTCATCTCTCTTACATTTGAACACTACATACTAACAAATCAACAGTTACATTGAATTGTCTGTTTGCCATTCTCCATAACTAGTTTCTACACAGCTGCCCTGCAGCCTCCTCATGTACAGTGTGTGTGGCAGACAGCTACACATATGCAGAGTCACTGGACTGAGTGCGCCCAAAGTTTGGCATACTCATCCTGGGCAAGTCTTTGTTCCGGATCTCATAAATAGACTTCCTCCTGGCCTGCACTCCTCTCACAGCAGTTTTGATCTTCCTCCAGCCGAGATGGTTGAGCTCTGCCAAGTTGAATAACACGCAAATGCCACTGACTGCAAACATGAAGACCAGAAACACAGTCTTCTCTGTGGGCCTAGAAACATAGCACTCTACATCTTTTATGCAAGGGTATCGATCACATTCATACACTGCAGGGACGTTGAATCCATAAAGGAAGTATTGACCCACCAGAAACCCTATCTCTAGTGCATTTCTGAACACCACTTGAATGATGTAGAACCTGGAGATGCCCTCCTGCCTTCTCATTTTTGACTTTGTAGTTCGCAGGGTTGAGTTGGGGATGTCTTTGACCTCAAGGCAGTCGGGTTCTACCTCTTTATTGGAGTTTTCAGTGTTCTGCAGCACTCCATTCACGATGGTGTTCTTGATCTTCTTGCTATCATCCCGTTTCATAGAATCCTGGTCCTTGTCCAGTGATAGGTACACTGTGGAGAACCGCCGCTCTTTCTGCTTGGCGGACTGGTGCACAGAGTAGGTGATGAAGCAGAGGCTGGGGCAGCACACCATAATGATCTGGAACACCCAGTACCTGATGTGGGAGATGGGGAAAGCCTTGTCGTAGCAGGCCTGGTTGCAGCCTGGCTGTAAGGTGTTACACACAAACATGGACTGCTCATCGTTGTACACGGTCTCTCCGACAATTGCCACGATCAGAATCCGGAAAATCACCACCACAGTCAGCAAGATCCTGAGAAAAAATCAGCAGCAAAAATAAATTCACTTTTACAGTAGTTGTGTTAAGCTCATTTTTGTAGATCAACTTTAAAGCCACATCCCCCAGGAATGTTTTAATATGTCACTGAATACTCATTTGAACCCGTCTCTTCTGGTCACTTACTAAACTTGCCATATGTCACAAGCATGGTTTTGCTTTATGACTGTAGCTACCTGGTGAGCTTCAGTGGGAGTGCAGCTGAAAGGCAGGACCTTATTTTTCAAATGTAGAGAGGATAACACTAAAACTGACAACTCTACATTGCAAGCTTTTGTCTTGTGTCAGTACTACCGGGAGTCGATGACAGAACAGCTTCACTTAATGCTTCATAAACCATGCACTGATAAGAACACAGTTAAGCAGCAAAAAGGTTCTTTCACAACCTGGCAACCCACATGTATGTGTTGCAAATTGTCTCTGAAGCTGTAGTGATGTATGAAGCCCAATAAGCCACTTCTTCTGAACACATGATGGATGTCTCATCAAAACCAACGTGTCCAGCTGCAGACCATGAAACAGGTCTCAGGGCTGTCTGTCTCCGCCACTGTGAGGGAGCTGTCCAGTGCTGGAATAGACGCATTCCCTGTCTCCGTCTAACTCCTGCTGTACAACCACTGATTTGAAAAACCACACGGTGCTTTTAACTCTTCTTGGTGTTGGTTGCGCTTTTCCTCACTCGTGCTGAATTTTCACAATCACTTTACTTGTTCATGAAGAGAGAAAGTTTCTGTTTCCGTCTTACCTTCCGATCATTGTAGAGTGCTGCTGGACAGCCGCCTCCAAGAGACGCTCTAATATGGTCCATTCCCCCATGGCTGTTCATTCGGAGAGGATCTCACTCAATAAAAACCGGACGATTTGTTGACTTTTACCTCTCAGAGTCCGGGGAAGCCGACAGTATCCACTGAAGGCATAGGTGTGTGTGTGTCCCGCTGTTCAGGTTCTGCGGGTTGCCCGAGCGCTCTTGTCGTCCACCCTCTCAGGGTCTGATAAGCGCCGACCCCTCTGCGCCTGTGCAGGCTCGTGTGAGACTGAGTAGACTGTGGAGCGCACGGCTCAGCGTTAATCCCGCTTTAAGTAGACTCCTTTGCGTCACACGCACATCGGCTGGTGTGTTGTGGAGGCCAGGGACGCACAGCTTCCCACTCATTCATCCATCCTGATCCATCATCCATCCATCCACCGCTGCCCCTGCCTCCGAGAGGAAAACTGTGTTGTAACAGTTAAAGGTCCAGTGTGTAAGATTTAGGTGAAAGGAACTATTGGCAGAAATTGAAAGTAGAATAATCCTCATGATGTTTTCACAAGTTTGTTTCATCTAAATTTATAAATTGTAGTTTTCTTTACCCTAGAAAATACCCTATATTTAAATACTTTATATTTACATGGAGGGGCTCCCCTCTACGGAGGCCGCCATGTTTTTTACATTAGTCCAGACTGGACAAACTAAACACCTTTTGAGTTTTTATGACAACTGAAGCTACCACAGGTTCTTTTTCATGTTTAGAAGGAGAGGGTGAGGTGAGGGGTGTTCAGCTGCAACATGCAATTTCAACACTAGACATCACTAAATTCTACACACTGTACCTTTAACACATCCACACCCTAGTCTGATTACATCAGAATAAATAGTTTAGACTAATTCTAATTAGGCTATTAGCAGAAGATGCCATTCTAGTATTTCCAATAGCCTGGTGGTTTAGTGAATGTCAGAGCCGCAGCAGAAGAAGAGATGAGCTAATAGACTGCAACCAGCAGCACTTCTTCAGACAAATTCATCAACAATCACTCCTAGTGGGCTAGGAGTCAAATAGGCATAGTGATTAGTTAATTTGATGGCATTAGAAGTATAAGAGGTAGTCCTTTTAGGGTGCTGGAGTAAGAGCTGCAGGAACCCAGGTTTGTGTGAGCATCAATGACTTAGTGGATACAGCTCTTACTGTAGATCTAAAGTTCCCATATTTGCCTTCGACAAATAAACCTTACTTGGACATAAATGGTTTGTATTTATATAGAGCTTTTCTAGTCTTGATGACCACTCAAAGCGCTTTACAGTACAGGTTATTACAATTACATTCATACAGTGCATCTATGGGCAGCACTTTTTCAGGGCATGCAGATGGGTAAGACTGGGATCGAACCACCAACATTCTGGTTAGAGGAGGACCACTCTATCCCCTCATCCGCAGCCGCCCGAGTACATAATCAGATTATGTGAGAATTCCGTCATTGCGACCCACGCTACTGTGAGCCGTTACAGTAGTTGGGGATCAACAGTGAAATCAAATCAACACTGTCCAATTAATGCAGGAACTTTAGTGGAGAAATTGTTTTAAACAAAGTGAACAACATAAGGTGACAAAAACACTTCTACAAAAACATGCTGTGTATGTTTGTGTGGGGGTCTACTGTGAAACAATGAACACACTGAGAAGCATAGAGCCCCTACACCACAAATATAAGGTGATTTTTAAAAAACATATTGTGCAAACTAGATGAAAACATCACCTTTTAGGGCTCAGTAGAGAGGACAGACTTTCTTTATACAGCTATTTGCTCCTGTCTGTAGGTGTATTGGATAAACTGAGTTCCAGAAAGTAATCTCTTTAACTGCCTCACTTCATTTCCAAATATAGAACAACTTAAGAGGACAACCTGTAGTATTGGTCAGTCAATGCCAATCCCATTATTACACTACTCACAGTTGCCTGTCTGGTAAGGAAACAAACAAATACCTGTCTATGCATCAAAGAGTGACTGTGTATGTCAATAGAACACATGTCACACACCACAGGACTAGTGTAAGTGCTCAGAGTGAGTCCCACTCCTTGTTTATTTTACCAATAAATATTAAATATTCACATGAACATACATTCCACCATCTAGTAAAGTCAACACATAGAAACTGCATGTGTTAACAATCTGTGCAGACATGGACAAGAAAGGCTAACTGCTGCCACAGACACAGGACACAGCACTTGAGGGAGTTATTTTGCCATTGAGTCTGGTGCTTCTTGTTGATGATGGAAGTTCCTGCCTTCTCACACTCCTTGCTTGTTGATCCACCCCCCTGCTCGAAAGTGGTAAGAGACCACACCCATCAACACTGACGACTTACACTAAGGAAGAGTAATGATCGGATGGGTTGTGTCTCAACTTCAAGTATGTTTAAAGGACAATTCCAGTTTATTTCAATCACCTTTTTTATTTGAAAAGCTGTCAGAAGTTTAGTCCCGTCAGACAACTCACGTTCAACTGTTTATTGCAGCATTAGAACATAGTTTGTGTTTGGCATCTAGGCTCCGAATCAGTCACTCCCCCGATATGATTACACAGATGGGAGTGACCTCCCCCCGGAGGCTACAGGTGGTTGCTGGGGTGGTGGAGGGGCTAAAGCAACTGGTAGCGATACTGCAGCAGCAGTGCAAGCAAAGGGGTTGATGGGAAATTTCTCTCTGCTTAATAAGGTGGGTGTGTATAATAGATGATTGTGGAAAATGAGGTATGTCACATGATTGGAGCAGCGCAGCTCGAGTTGGCTGCCTGAACTAGCTCAAAGGGTTTGCTCCATTTCAGACCAGAAATACATTATTTCCCCCAAGTCCTGGTTTCCCTAAAACTCTACAGCAGGGATGTTGAAACCTGAAGAGCCACAGGAAGCATGAAATGTGCCTGCTAAATAAACTTTAATTATCCTTTAACAGTAATCCGTTGGAACCTTTCGAGACCTGTCACTCCACTGAAACTACTTACTAACATAATGAATGACCATCTTCTCACATTCATCTTTGTTCATCTCCTCCTATACTGATAAGAAACCAGTTTGGTATCTCCAACCTCTTCCTCGACATGGTTACAATCATACTTATCTGAAAGAGCACAATATTTTTCATATGATCATCAGTGGATTTTGGGGATCAAAATAGGAATGTGATTATGATGTGCTTTCCTTGTTTCTGATGTGAATTAAGGAGTGCCTTAGGGCTCTTTTCTTAGCCCTTTATTTTTGCAGAATACCATCCCTCTAGTTAAAAGGAAGTCAGAAGTCGGCAGGGCCTTTTCCAATGAAAAGAATGTCTTGGAGTACAGGCTGTGCTTCTAAAATGTAAATTTTAAACCAAGGATAATTTGCACATGGTAGTGAGGGATATAATTAGATTGAATACATTTTTGTTTGGCAGCCCTGTTTGCTAGGTTATGGATAAGGAGGGGATCCATTAGGCTCTTTTGTGACTAAATCACATATCTGCACTCACTCTTTTGTGTGTGCAGAAATGAAGTGGTCAAATTATTATCCTGGACAAGTGTCATGATGTGTACTGCATGTGGAAGTAGCTTTCAGTTACCATAATATAAACACACTTCATGTGGCTGCTGCAGAAGTCCTGTCAAATAGAAGGCCAAGGGACTTACAAAGTCAAAGATATCAGAAAATAGAAAAACACGGGAGTTCAAACATACAAGGAATATTCACCATCTATTCCTATATTCTAAATGCTAAATGATTAGCTGAGTCCATCATTCAATAATCTAGCATGTGAAACCCTGTAACCAGCAATGCAATGCTCAAAATGAGCAAACAGCCATGAAGACAGCCATGCACCCATTTCAGTGAACTTAGCGTAACGTATGTGCTGACCAAGGCTGATATTTGTCACACTGAAACAATTCCCCTTGTGTAGTATTTTCTTGATCCTACTAATTTTGGCACCCCTGGGACAAAGCAGAGAATAAACAATGTACATCACAGTCTAGAGACCCACACTTCTACTTCAGCCAGCTGCACTAACTGACTGTGTGTTTTTGTGTATGTGTGTGTGTGTGTGTGTGTGTGTGTGTGTGTGTGCTGTTTCCCTGTTAAATTGGGGATTATTAGCAACATTTTAGGTGGATGTGTAGTAATTTGTTTTAAGTTGGCCCATTCCAAACAAGACTGGCTGATAAATTTCTGTCCTGCTGTAGTTTTGTCAGCCCCCAACTCATCTGTACAATGGCCTGCCTGAGGAGAGCAAGAAACCCAGCCCGTCGTAGTGCTCCATTTATATAGCTGCTGGTGTTGTTTTTACAACAAAAGCTTATAAACCACTTTCACTCACACCTATACACACTGACGGCTCAGCCATTAGGAACAGTTTGGGGTTCAGTACTTCGCCCAATGAGGAGCCCAGGAACAGTTGATGAGGAGATGATTTGCTCTACCTCCTAAGCCACAATAACCCAACTTGTCACTCCTAAAACCTCACTTAACTTCCTATTCATTTATTTTATTTCAAGCTTTACTCTTTTCAATGTAAAGCACATTGTTCCTTGTTTTGAAAAGAGCGGTATAAATAATTATATTACATATAATAATGATAATAATAAACTGTATTTATTCAGTGCTTTTCAAAACAAAATGACAAAGTGCTTTACCTGAATAAAGGATCATAGCTGCTCATATATCTCCTTCAGGTGGCAGAGCTCCCAGTGAGCCTCGGTGAGTCTGAAAGCAAACACATTATAAGATGGTCATGACCAAAGAGAAAATGTGTCATAGATGTTAAAAAAAGACATGAAGCTTGAAAATGAACCACAGAGGTGGTGACATCAGTGTCACTGCTTGAGCCAAAAGTGTCCCAGCTGGGACCTGCTGGGAAGTGCACTTCATTTGAACTCACAGATCATCCCTTTGATATTTGAGTGACATTTTTACAAAAACATAAACCTGCATTTTCAGGTCAGGTTAACAGTCTGGTCTTGTTTTAGAAGCACCTTGCAGGCTAGCATGACTAATGGATAACTGATACAGGGGCCAGAGACCTGAGTGCTGAGTACAGACACTGAAAAAGCATGTCACCATTTATTCAGGTCAGTCCTAGAAGACAAATATCAAAAGCTCAATGTTGGAGATAGCCATGCATTTTATATGGATTCACGGCCCAAGCACAATTACAGGCATGTG